TCTGGCGACCTGTCCAGGGTGTACGCCGCCTCTCGCCCAATGTCAGCTGATATAGGCTCCAGCCCCCCCCCGCGACCCTCAAGAGGATAAGCGGTTACGAAAATGGATGGATGGTAGGTCAATCCTGTGTTGCCTTGAATTCAATGCAGAACAATGCATTGTAAAACACTTCACTCATGTCCTATAGAAAATGAATAGGGCTGAAGCTTGTGCTGCACTCAGTGGGTCTTCACTATATTCTCACCGCAAAATTGTGTAAAGAAAGTATATGTTAGGCAGAATGGTCTAGACCAGTGGTTCCCAATTGGTGGGTGGCAGTCCAAAAGTGGGTTGTGGGTCTATTCTGAATGGACTGCAAGTGACTTGCAAACATGTCAAGTTTTTTTTTTTTTTTTTTTTAAAAAAAAGACTTTATTTTTAAGTACAGTGAATTTTTAGCTCAGGGCTTTTATTTTGAAGTGCCGTTTCCTGCTGTAGAATGAGTGACTATCAGACAGCTACTTGTCAGAGACAGAAAACAAGCTCAACAACATGGCTAAACGCAAGTGTGACGCTGAATGTATTGAACTAATGACTAAGGAGAAATCTGGACCAGGAAAGCTGGACCAGTTGGGAATCAATGGTCTAGACAATTGCTTCATCTGAACGGTCACATCCTAATTAAAGTCCCAATCAGAATAACATTTTCTGCTCAGTTTCCAGTAACTTTTGTGTACAAATGCCTGAATCAGATCAGTACAAACAGTACATGTCCTAAAGTACTGAGAACTTTGCAATTACTTGATTGGTGTGCATGAAACCAGAATCACTCATTGATCAATTTTAAGCAATAAGCAATCAGTGGTAAATTCACTATAAACACAGTGGCCAAAGGCGATGAGCAACAAAATTGTGCCAATTTTATGCCACACATTTAAAATTCCCTCTCTGTTGTGAAGTTAAGGATAAACATCTTGGCTTTTATGTGTTGCACAATTGGGCAGTTTTATCCATGAATGACAAGAAGTTGGTCATGATGTGGCCCCAGCCCTCAATGAAAAACACATTTCTTACAGCCTGCTTATAAGCAGATAGACAAACACCAAATAAAAACCACAACCAAAGTAAACCGAGAAAGGAGACTCTCCTTCGTGGGAACAAGAGAAACTGTGGCCTGTGTGGTCGTAATAATGAAGCAGAGACTGCCATTTCAACAGCTGCCTTTTGCTGCGGTTCTTTTTATGATGTTGCTTTATATATTTTATGAATTCATTTGATTCTAGAGGGAACGGAGCCAAAGGAGACTGCAGTTTAATTTGATGTGCTAGACCAAGTTACCGTGTGCATGCATGTATACAGTATGTGTGTAAGTGAGCGCATGTGTATTTCTAACATGATTCATTTGAGGTGAATAAAACCAGCTGTTTCTATTGAACGGTGGCCAAGAACCCCATGCACCGAGGGGAATAGACGGCATAACAGACCACTGAGTACAGAGTTACCTAACATCGCCTGACCATTCACTGACCACTGTGCCGTGCTTTCCACTGAGGTGACTATTGGTCAGATCTGATCTCACAACAATGGAATAACTCTTTATTTCTTCAGAGGAATCATCACAAAATCAAGTCATGCAACTGGCAACCAAGTCACCCTGAATAAAATATCATGTTCGGGGACAGCAAAGTGGTTTTATTCCTATAGGAACTTATGGTGTGTGTGTGATACACAATGTGAAATGATGACATCTTTTCTATCTACTGAACCTGTAAAAATATCCTGTAATGAATTTTAGTGGCACATACATCCCTACAAAACTCTAAGTGTATTCAGTAATGTATAGCAGAGGTGTGGACTCGAGTCACATGACTTGGACTTGAGTCAGATTCAAGTCTCAAATTTGATGTCTTTAGACTTGACTTGCCAAAATCAAACTAAGACCTGTAAATCAACTTAGCCTTTAACACCAGTGACTCATGATTTCACTTGGACTTGAGCCCTTTGACTTAAAAATACTTGATACCTTCCCCGAAACCAAGAAATGTACAACTATGATATTTAAAAAGGGTCCCACAAATCTCCACAAATTTCCCTTCATTTCCTCCATCAGCTAACACTATTTATTCCCAGCAAGGTCACACTTAATTTCCCAGATCCAATGCAGCAACATCCAGTCACATTGCAGGAGAGAACCACAAAGAACTAATGTTACTTTTCTGAGCACCAGTTGGAAAAAGTAACACCAAAGATTATTTTGTTCGCATACAAAAAATATAAGTTGTACAACAAAACGTGCAGGTCAAAAATTACAGATGAAGATGCAACAACTTCCAGTTTTGTTAGACATTTGAAGTTGCACAAAGAATGGTAAGTTGAGGCTAATATTAACATGTTTAGTGGGGTAATTAACAGCTGCAGAAGTCTTTAACAAACTTGTTTTAACAAATTAATGCAAATTTAAATAATCATTCATGATTTTGTAAATTAAGTATATTGTTACTCTGTTGTCAAATTTCATTACACTTGTGGAATAATGCGTTATGACTGCTTTCGGACTTGAAACTCAAAGGACATGGGACTTGCTTGTCTTGACTTGGGACTTGAGTGTGAAGACTTGAGACTTACTGTGACTTACAAACCAATGACTTTGTCTCACCTCTGCTGTGTAGTGTGCTAATGACATCATATAAGATTTTTAAAAATGGCATAAAGTAGGATAAGTTTGAGCAATACTGTAAAATTTGGCTCTGGTTTCATTCAATTACTCATTCAGGGTAGGCTCTAATTTGTATTAATGTTATTTCATATTAACCATATATCAAGCAGACGAATGAAGACACAGCGTCTTCATAGCTTGCCAGTAAAGACATATTCATTTCACAGTAATATGAAAGACCTGTGAAAGAAATGAAGAATATTCTTTTCAGCACCAATAAAAAGAAACTAACATGTACAGTCAACAGGGCTCGTACAAGTTCATTAATGTCCCTGGTTGTAGCTGTTAATGTGTATACTGCAATTAATCATAATAATGTGAGCATATATAGTATGGTACATATGTGCTGGGTTAATCAGATAGCAGTATGTGCAGTCCAACATTTAAAGCCAAAAGTATGCTAAACTTACAGCTCAAGTAATGAGGCTGTGATTGCGACTATGATTAAAACAGCACAAACAATGAGTGGGTAATTATTATGCAAAGAAAACTGACCTCTACGTGGAAGTGTTTTTCTTTCTTTTTAAAAAAAAATAAAAATAAAAATCCCTTTCCTCTTCTATTTTTCAGTCCTCCTTCCCTTTACCTTTAGCCTATTTTCCAAACCAGACATGAAAGATGAGTGTGTTCGGATAAGATTTATCTTGTTTATTTCAACGCTTGCATTTTTGCAGGTCTTTACATAATGCAGCAATAAAAACTGTCAAAACAGAAAATACAATCATGGAAACATTACAAACACTGAATGCACTCATCAAACAGTAACTTCAATGAGAAGTGCTGTCAGAATCACAGAGAATGTGCATACTTATCTTTATAAAAAGGACATTTTTTGTATGAAAAATAGCAGATCATGTGAGCAACATACAGGAAATCTTCTGCGGTTTGATTTACTGTGACTTTGAAAACACATTGAGCACCTCTTCGGTGAACCTGGGATTTCCAAACCTTCAGTTTTTCCTAACATTGACATATCTTGGATGTTGTGCTTCCAAAAGCAAACTCATCCGTCTCATCTCACGCAACATATGTATTTGTTATTGTTAGGACAGCAGCCCACTCTTTTTTTTTTTTTTTTTTTTTAGCTCTTGCAAAGATCAGAGACAAAGTGTTCTAGTCTTTCTCAAATATGGGGTGCAACAGAGCCTTCATAAATAAATTGCACTGTGGGTCTGTGGCTACTAGAACAATTCATTTTCATATCATAATTATGTTGATGACACTCACATTTACACATGTGTATCTTAAAGCAAGTACTGTCTCATAGATTACCTTAAATGCACTGACCAAATCAACAGTTGGTGTGGCAACAGTGCTTACATTAAATATGAAAAAAAAAAGTGAAAACAAAATGTTGGTGCCAAACAGGAAAGACTGGAATTTGGTGCTCATCTAAACTCTGTCACTGAATCATAATGGATTTGGATCTACATTTAAACAGCTGTCGTAGTTCATGTTTGAATAAGATTTAGAGGAGTCATGCCTTTATTTCTGGAATACTTGTAATGAGCTTTTCTCTGGTCTTTCTACCAATAGCTCTCAGACAGCTGCAGCTCATTCAGCTGGAGTACTAACAAAGACCACATCGTACCAATTGTCAAATCTCTGCACTAAACTCCAGTCTGTCAAAGAAACGATGACAAATTACCGCTCCTTTATAAATGACTAAATGGTTTGGGGCCGAAATACATGTTGGATCTTCTGCTACTGCATCCACACACTAAATCTCGGAGGTTGGCACTGGTCAGGTTTTTCCCCAAAAATGAAATCCAAACATGGTCAAACTACTTTTAGCTGCTCTGCTGCACATATTTGGAACTTGCAGAAGATCTGGTACGCCTCTCAACATTTATCATTTTTAAATCAAAGCTGTAATGCATCGGTTTGCTGCTTTTTAATTAAATTTTTGGCCAGTTTTATACTCTCTTATTTTGTTCTTATTGGACTTTCTTGACTCGTTCTATGTTTTTCCTTTCGTTTGCAATTTTGATTTTAATTTATCTTTTATCTTATTTGTTTATTTATTTTTTCTATTAGAAATGAACCCCAATTGCACGTCACAGCCTCCAATAGCGCCCCCTAACGCCTGGATTTCCTCTCAACTCACTGTGATGTGGTGAAACTCAGTTTTGAAATGTGTTGACTCTCATAAGACTGGAGATAATTTTGAGATTGAGGGCACCATTTAACTATGATCATTATTACTAGTGTTATCATCCCACTATACGTCATCACCACCAATGGGCAGTGCCGGTGTATGCTCAGTCTCTTCTTTAAAGGCAGGAATGTAAATCCACAGGGATTAGTGAGAACACACTGGACTGTAAACCCTTCAGTAGCTCTCCAAGGGGTCTCTGCCTCAGTGCGTAAAGTTGGGACGGGTCTCCGGACGCACCGCGCAGCACTTACAATCGCACAGTCTCCATGTGCGTCACCTCTGTGGGATACTTGACATAAGGATTTCTGATATTTTGACACCACAACCGGCGCGGGTCACTGACAAATGAATATCCTGGCGTTTTTACTGATGTGAAGGCGTTTTCCCTTGAACGAATCATCTGTCCCGGAGCGCAGAGGGGACATGGGTCAACTTTATGGTGCGACTCTTTTACCATTTGGCGCTATCTGTGTTGTTTTTCTGTGGGAATCTGGTGCCAGCTCTATCAGGACGACGCTTGCAGTGGACACCTCGAGGTAAGACTCGTGGACTTGATTAGATGATCCTAAAAATATCTTGATTTTTTTGTGAATGAACGGCTGGTGAAGCCATGTCAACCTCATCCATAATAAGTTTAATCAGGCATGTAGTGGTTTACAAATGTCGGGTTTTTATCATCACAAAAAACTCCACAAAAAGCCTCAACAAAACTTTTTAGAAACAGCAGTAATTTGTTTTCAGTTTGAACCACAGCGTCTGAATAACAGTTTACTGATGTGGTTAGATACCAGAGATTAAAGCTCTGTAAACGTTTTAGTGGCATCTAGGCTACTTCACTCGCATTACTAGTTTGTTTCAGCTTTTAATTTAATCCTTAAAACAAGCACTTCCCTGTCAGATTATCACACAGTGGCAAAAGTCATAATAGAGTTTAGTGTGGTTTATTGGTTTCTGCTCTTTGCGACATACTGTGAAAGCAGCCTGTCACAGAGGAGACCCTGGGATGAACCGCTGTAGCGCGTCTAATCTAATGTGATTTTCAAGGAAATGCAAAAAGTCAAAGGGAAACTCCAAATGGTTGGAATCGGTCGCGGTGCAGAGAGCCAAATGTTACTTGTGTTCAGACAAAACATGACAGATGCTATTAAGGTGCCCGGACACAGTAGGTCAGGAGGTGAGGAGGGGATGTGAGTGGAGCACATGCACCCAATATTCTGAGGAGAGGAAACCACCGAAGCAAACCGCTGAGCAGCAGGTTAAACCCCACTAAATGACAACAGATTTTTTTTTATGTATGCAGCCCACAATCTGGCCACAATATTTAAAATGACACAGGATCGTAAAACCTTAGATTTATGCTTTAAAGGTTCAGTATAAACTCACATTAACTGCTGTGATTGATGGACCTCATACTGTAATCAAACTGGAGTTCTTAAATTTTTAACTGAGACCAAGTATAGGCTACTGTATGACTGTAATATTGACATTGCCCCAGCAATGTAATGTACATTAATAAAAGTGTTGTTAGCTTTGTTGGCATCCTGAATTTCACAATGTATAGGCTATCTAATAATTTTCATGACAGAGCTAAGAGCTAGACCAGTAAATGAGCCAGGTCAATATATCAGCCAGTTTTAGCCTAACATAGATATATCAGTGTCGGCATAACGGCTACAGAAGTGTAGTGCATGTTCACATTTAATGAGTTAACTCAAAATTCAGTTCACACTGATTAAAAAGAACTAGTTCCCATTCATAATTCACAATTTGAATTTTGAGGTAAGTTCACAGTCCCTAAGTTTGTATTCATGTCTTCCATTTTTTTTAAAATAAAATATATTTTGATCATCATTCACTCAGATATTTCCCAAGATGAGTCAAATGCTTCAACTCAGTGTGCTGTTTCAAATTTGTTGCTGATGTGGCTGTTAGAATCTGTGCTGATTTGTTCATAAAAGTCCTTCAAACATCCAAATGAACTGGCTGTCACGGTACTGGTAGGCATATTGTCAGAAGTGCCTTTAGCACTAGCCATGCCGGTGTTGTGTCGGTATGCTGAGTGCCGATGTGTTCAGTTCACCGTTCGCCAAAAATATGAGTATGTTCAATGAACGTGTTCTTTTAGCGCGTTCATGCACAATGATGATTTACAGTATGTCGGCTGATAAGTAACACAGTACATAAATGCCATGGGTATGTTAAGCAATGGGCGAACAGATACTTTTGACAGTATTGGTTCCTTCGAGTTAATACATGCAAATCGTTCGAAACCTTTGAGTTTTGATACATCTTGCAAAACAGGATGTCAGCGTCTTCAGGACACTCCATTATAGTACATGCACGTTCAACAGCTAGTGATGCTTTGATTCTTTAGTGCATTACCAGTCATCCTCTATGAGTTTATAAGCTCAATACGATGTCACAGAAATGTCGCTGACCAACGATCAGTCATTCTTTAAGGGGCAAGTAATAGATGTCTCGGTTACCTCCAGTCTTGTGGTGCATTCATGTGGTGTTGGAATAATGTGAGAAATCAGTCATGGCTCACCTGATCTGTTTCCTTTGCACTTCATTATCAAAGTGTTGTTTGAACGCTCTGAGCAGTAAAACATAGCACATCTTCTTTGTAACGTCCATGTTGTTTCCACCTTACAACTTAAAACTCATGAACACACTGAAGTCAGAAGAACGAGCATCTGAGGAGCATGTGAATGCACCATGGCCTTGGCAGCTGGAGGTCTGGGCTGGAGTCTGATTTAATTGGTCCTCACTCACTCAGCTTAGCAGTGTGAGCAGTACCCCACACTAACAGCAAATGGGAAAAGTCAAGGATTGACAAGCGCTTGGTCGATCGACAGGCTAACTTGTTAGATACTGCACACTAAGAAGAGTCATTTAAAAAGATTTGTTAGTTCAATTTTGCCCATTTGAGGTTATTTAGTATAGTGTCTCCATTGCATAGGTTGTCGAGCAGAGAGCACTGGAATTTTTAACAAAATTTTGTAAAATGTCCCGCTCAGTGTATCTTTATCACAAAATTGAAGAAGCCCTTATGTAAAATGTTTATGTGTTTAAGGCTGACACTGGTGATTGTTTTCATTATCGATTGTTCTGCTAATTATATTTTTGGTTAACTTATTAATTTTCTGGCACTATCAGCTTTTTCATGATGCCATGTATGTTTAACACTGCATAATGTGGCAATTCATGTCAAAGTACTGCTGAGCTTGAACCCCTTAATGCTCTGGACAGCTAGCCTGGAAGTCCAGACCCAAATCTAGAAGGATTTAGGGTCTGGCCATGACTAATGAAAATGGTCCAACTCGAGGGGCGGTACCAAGCATGCATTTGTAAATATCACTGCACACAACTGGATAACACTACGACCAATCAGAACAATACACAGGGTGACGTATACGCTTAGCTACCAGCAGAGCTAACAAGTAGATTAGACTCTTGCCGTCTCCGGTCAGCAAAACAGTTAAAATGTCCTTCTTGCAAATGAAAGACTCGAGTGCCATCTTCAGTTCCTCTTTTAGAGAAAAAGCCAAGTCTAACTCGTTCACTGTAGCGACCAAAGCCGTTTCAAACAACTGGTGTTCATCCATAGCCATCTTGCAATATTTACTGACTGATTCCGGACTTCATCATCGCAGCGCTGTCATCATCTGTTTAGCTCGCCTCTGGCCCGCCTATATCAGATACACCGATGTGATTGGTGCAGCTTGGTTTCATGGGCATAGGTAATGAGCATCATTACTGATTGCCAGAGTGACTTGCTGAGCAAATTCAAATTGTGCTCTCACGAGAACTCTGGATTTCCAGGGTACTAGACAGCTACCAGGTGTAAGTGTTTAAAGGGCCCTGGTGGCTGAGGGGTTTCAGGCACCAGCCATGAACCACAACATCCCTTGTTTACATCAAGACCTGGACCTTTGTTGCATGTCATTTTCATGTGTATGTATAGCACATAAAATGCCATTCAATCACATTTGCTTCCATGCATCTTTCTTTTCTCAGAACAGAGTGTCCAGAAGATAAGATCTTGACTGTGGAGTATCCCTGTGTCAGAGCTGGGGGGAAGAACAGCATTTGTTTCAGGTAAGACTCCCAGCTTCAGTTTCCACTGGGCCCAATAAGCCTGAGCCACTGAGTGTAACAGCAGGAAGTTACTATACACTATACATTTGTTTTGGTATTCAGCTTGCTGTCTTTCCCAGAACAGTGATTTGCTCAAGGACACTTTGACAGAACAAGTGGCTGCTGATGTCTGTTGGAAGGATTGAACCAGAAAATTTCTGGGGCTATGAAATGCTTTTTGTAACCACTAAACTACCCAGCAGTGTCATTTCCAGAGCTCCACACAGTATATCCCCCCGTTGGAAACTATATATGCTCATGGGAGTGGAAAATAATTATTTCCTGGAGATCATCAGTCAGAGAACGAGTGATGATCTTGAACTGAAAATGCAGGTTTTTAAATAAAGTGTCAGGATTTGTCAACCAACAGCCGCAACCCTTCAAAAATTCAAGATGAGGATTTTCTTTTACTAACCTTATATTCCTTATTGTATTTAATAAACACAGATGCCCTGCCATAATATATTCTAACTCCATGTTGTAGTTTGTTAGTGTTACTTTTTTGGAAAGCGGAAGTGACTAATGTCAGTTTTGAACAACATTGTTATTCCTTCCCTTGTACTGCAGCTTTCCTGTGCACTGAACGGACTTCCACCAGCCTGGCTCTGTGACAGTAAAACAGAATTTGAACTTGAACTCACTCAGCTTGGGTCCAGAGCTAAAACATTTAGGGAAGGCATCCCCCCTCAGGGAGTTAGGCCTGCATTATAACCTAAAAAGTAGAAGTAGTCTGGCAGAGGAGGACTTGATTAGTGATGCGCTGTTTCCATGCAGTGGAAAGACTCCCTTAGTGATTAACAACATCAGATTAGGTTTTTATAATTGAATCATCAGTGTATTTTTTAGAATTAAGAAGAGGGCAAGTACAACAAGGGTGATATAAAAAAAAGAATATGGGGCAATTTTGAGAGATCTGAAATATTATTCCTTTCTTGCTCTTTTTTCTCTATTACATAGAGTACTGTACAGTCTCCAGGCGTCTAATTTATGAAAATATCCTTTGATATCATATCATATGAGCATCTTGAAACATAGGTGGAAGGAAATAAATCAATACAATGTAGACGCTGTGGCAAGTTGTAAGCTCATCATACATCATACACAACAGGAGAAAAATCAATGTAAATCGCTCACTTTGACATTTAGATAACTTTCTTCTGAAGCCAAACTTTGGCTTGGATTTGGTTGTTGGCGTAAGAAGATCCTTTAATAAATGAGGCACCAGGTCTGGTGTGAGGCCAGACCATCTGATCTGTTTATTGTCAAGGTTAGGCTGTAACAGGCTCTGCGTCTTGTTTAATTTCTGGCTCTACAAGAGATGTGTGGTGCTGGAGGAGGTGGATTAGATGAGGTTGTATTTTCCTTGCCATGATTCTCAAGGCAGTTCAGTGTGGACCTGGATCAAATTGATTTTGCAAATAACTTCAGGGGCGACCAGATTGATCCATTGTGTCTGTAGTCTACATAAATATTACCTTCAATTTTACTTTCAATGGGAGCAGTATGTTTTCCAGACAGAGCTGATGAAGCAGCCTGCACATATTTCCATCTTTTTAGACAGACTAAAAACAGGTTTCCTCGTCATTGGGAAACAATCTGATGTTCACATGCTTGCTTTCCTGATCACATCCACTTAGGAAGAGGTAGCACTGCAGGTCTGAGACCACAGAGACTTGGGCCTCTCATTTCTTGTCGTAGATAGATTTTACCTGCTGAAATGACAACTGTTGATGTAAGGTCTTACCTGGTGTAGCTAACAATGAGTCTGAAAATACTGTCTCCAGCATATATGATATCATATATGCACTTGATGGCTAAATACATGATGATGTGCTTAAAAATCTGATGGTGAAGACACTTGCTCACCAAGAAGCTAACATTAGCATGAACTCTGAGGTCATCTGCGTCTGCAGTGGGGTAAAAACTAAACAGTGTATGTGTTTGTCGTGAATGGGGCCTTTTTTAATGTAACTCATAACTCCTCAAAATAATGTTGTTAGTTAATGATAAGCTCCTTGGCCTTGTAAGTACCAGTTGGTCACTGCTAAGGTAGTTAGTTGAACATGCTCAATTGCATTTTATTCTTCAATGTGACCATCCCTACTCGTTATATTTTGATGTTTGAATCTTGACGCAGGGGGTTGAGGTCAGTGGGAAGTCATGAAGGGGTCGGCAGTTAGCTTTGGGATACAAAACCAATTGGCTAGGGTTAGGAACAGATCATGGTTGACATAAGTCACATCAGTTGACTCCCTTGAATATGAAAGTTAGGTTCAGGCAACAAAACTATTTGATTAGGGTTAGGAAAAGATCGTGGTTGATATGACTAACTACTAATGTGACGAACGACTGACGTGACAAAATAACTCAACAGTGACTTCTCTTTTCACATGGAATATGAGCACAACCTTAAGAAGATTTTCTGGCTTTTTGTATTACGTAGTAAGAAGATTTTCTGGCTTTTTATATTACGTCTGTTGCTCTTTACATCTAATAATGAGGCAAACAGGTTTACATCGGAGCTGGTTGAAAGCCATGTTCATCTCATACAGACACTTAAGGGTACCCCCTGCGTCGCTGTAGCATATTGACCTTGGGAGCACTGCCTAAGCAGCATACTGTAGCGCTCTGGGAGTAAGACCAGACTACACATGGGGAAATCCCAAGCTTGACATGCCTGCCGTGCCTAGTTACAGTTTCTCAGCTATGATTGGACAATTGACGTTTTTAAACTGTATTTGACCCAGTCCTGGTCAGTCTAACAGTCTAAGCTCTACCCACAGCTCTGCTGTGTTCAGACAGGCTGGACATTTTCCAACCATTTCTGGTTTTCTTCTCTTATTTCTTCACCTGGCACACCTCTCTCATATTTAAATGATCTGGGAATCGGTGATATTTCTTGAGTTTTGATTGAAGCTGACATGCCAACCATTCGGAAAAATTCACACCTTCCCAAAGAAAGTGGGTTTAGTTGCTATAAAAACAGAGAGGCAAATTATGGTACTTATAGTACTTAAATTATGATAGCAGTTTACATAAGGCATGACCTTTTATGAAAATGATCCTTTGATGTTTAAGGAAGCGATTTCTTATGCTGATTTATGTATCCCAATAAAAACAGCCTTTATGAAATTTGCCCAACCTGTTTGTCAGTGCACTGTGACTCTGACTCTACTTCTCGCACTTCGTTGCTCCTGTCAGTTTCACTGTCGACCTCTTCTGCTGCACCATGTGTGTGTGCTGTGGATAAGCTAAAATCTAAATGCCTCTGTCTCAGAGGGTTTTGTGGTCTTATGCAGAAGTAAACCCTCACTGCTCTCACCATCTAAACAAAGCCCGGCCACAGATGTCCTCCTCCTCCAGTGTGGTTTTCACAGCGATGAGGGTGAATCAGCTCGATTTCTACATTTCTATTGTTCTGGCCATTTCGCGTTCTTATTCTGTCTTTGCTGGAGGTCAGATTTCGGCCGTGCCAAGCCAAATATACATGGTTCGTACCCAGATTCTGAGTGATGTGAGTGTGTGTGAGCTTGCATGTTTATGTATGACTCTGTATGGATTGTCTCTGTATTGTCTGTGCTGGCAGTTACAGCAGGTTTATGCTGATGAGAGTTAATTTTCTGCTGCTTTCTGAACCCCGTCTCTCTAAATACTCTCAGCTGTGGAGTCAAACTCTGACAGGATTGATGGGCTCCACTAAACTGTAAACCATCCTTCCACTTGATTGGCATGTTGTTCTGGTTTAAGTACCCTGCACGGCTCATTACTGCAGCAGATAACACCCACAATATCACGCTACAGTATGTGAGCTCAGGCTCTTACTCGGTTTAAGTAAGGGATGATGATAAAAATCATGGAGACATGATTGATTTTTATTGCTACCATACTTTATGCTTCTTTTATTGTTACAATCAGTGTGTGAGAGCCAGGGGGAGCTTGGCTCCTCACATGAGCTCCCTGAAAACATGATTTCAAAGCACAGTGGTGTAATATCATCAACTTTACTTACTGTAATTAAAACATCAGGAAAAAAAACAAACTTTCTTAGTCCCGCTGTACAGTGATGTTTGGTTTTGATAGGCGTGAGAAGATGAGCCTCCCCAAAACCCATGGTTACAATGACCCATTTCTTCCAGTGGGATCATTATAGTTTTGTGTTGCTCTATTGTTGGAGAAACAGAAATGAGAAACGGCAGGAACTGAAAAGTATTATTTACATCACCTGGACGAGTCACCAAACAGCAGTACTCACTGAGATTAGCGGTATCTCAAGTGATAAGTGCTGTACCGCTCCCAAGCTAACTCAAGTCTAAGTTTTTAGTTTAAAAGTCACATGAGGAAGTTTTATGTGGACATTTCATGGTAAAAAAAAAATCCTCTAAACTAAGGGAGTATATTGACTATTTAGTCAATGATATATGATATGATATTGCTGACAAATGCTGCGAAAATACAATTTTGTTTTGTTCAATTCGGGGGCCTGCGATTACAATGAGACAATGTCAGTAAATATCCACATTGTGTTTGTCTTGGCTGCTTATCATTATCTGCCTGATGCTAGTGAAGTGAATATCTTTTGGTTTTAGACTGATGGTCATACAAAACATATAATCTAAAAAATGTACCCATTGGCTTTAGAAAATTATGATTGGCCCTTTTTATTACTTTATCAAACAAAAATTAATCAATTAAGTAAAACAATTATGAGCAAATGAATCCACGATGAAAACAAGGTTGCAGCCCTAAAATGATTTCCATGTCTGATGACTGTGAGCCCCAAATGTTTGGGCACTACAGCATATGATCTGTGGAAATACAAGAAGACAAGATACTGATCCAGGTATACACCCATCTTAAGAAACTGGCATAACTTCAGATAAAGCTTCAGAGACGATGACGTCTCAGAGCACATGTAGCAATACTGCATCAGTTTCCTCCATTCCTCTTTCCTCACATTTTTC